ATACATATAAATATACACAGTACACACACATACTGTATGTTATGTAAACACAAACTTTTATTTTGCATGCAATTGATTGCGATTAATTAATTTGACAGCCCTAATTTATATATTTATTATAAAATATAAAATGTATTTCTTTATTAATAATATAATATAATATATCAATAAATAAATAAATAAAAATAAAAATAAAAAAAAAACAGATGTAGGTGGTTAAGTTTTGACATTATGGGAAAAGGAAACCTGTTCTATTGGTATGGCCTTGGTGGTCACGATCAAAGCCAACATACATACTTTTACACTGAACAAACAACACAATAAGATAAGACAGCTCTAAATGTGTAGACGTGTCATTTCATCAAATGCATTACAATGGAACTCATACCTTCCTAAAATTACCGATATAGTTAGGAATATATGGGTGAATCTCATCAAACCCAGCAAGAACACATACCGGTCATATTCCACTCCAAAAGCTTTATGGTTTAAAAAATTTATTAAAAAATTATTTTCTCAATTTAGAGATGCAAATTGTCTAAATTTATATAAATGTATAAAATATTATTTGTAAAAAATAATTGAATTTATTTTTAGGGTAAACTATTTTTGTGAGATTAACCCATAAGTATGTATCAAAACATAATTAAATAATATATCAGGTCAGTGTCTCACCTCTCCCTGGTTTATGTAGACATTTACACGTCCCTCCTCCCTCACTGAGCTGAACATAGGAGCCCCAACCAGCAGATCGGACAGTCCATCTGCATTCAGGTCAACAGCACATACACTAGCTCCATAATAAGAGCCGAGCTGTAAACAGGAACAAACATCACTATTGTGTTCATTCAGCTGGAACCTGGATATCTTAGGAACACTTAAAATTCTTGAAATTTCTTACCTTCTTGCCTCTGGTTTTGGCAACAATTTTCAAAGTGTTGCCCTCAATCCTGAATATGTAGGCCTGGAGTTAAAGACAACACAGGAATATGGGAAATGGGAACTATAACACACACCAGCCTAACAGTGGATTGTATATGCTTGTGAATGAAATACATTTAAGTATAGTTTCATCACAAATATGAATGGTAGCTCCCTGACAACTTTTTTCCAGTCTCTGTTTCTTTGGTAAAATCATCAGACACCAGACCGTTACTCACAAAACTCATAAACACTGCAAACTCAGCACATCTGCAAATAAAAACCTACTTCCTCTTCTGCACAGATGGAAGAAGAGTTCAGTTTAACTGATTTACTGTTCGCAACTGCCAACAGAGTAGATGTCAAGAGGGTCCAATATCTAAATCTATTTATACACAACTACTGATATTCAGTATATGGTATCCAGAAGATTGTTATTAAGCTACAAAAACCTACAGGCTCTGTCAAAATTCTCCTTTTGTTCCAGAACTTTTCTTGCACAGCCTAACCAAACTAGAGAACTGCAACATTAAACTACTTCAAAATAGGGTCTGTTCTAATAATCAGATAGGTGATGATGATGATGATGATGATGGTGGTGGTGGTGGTGTTAACCCTTACTTTACCAGTCTGTTCATGCTGGGGAGCACCACCCACTATCTCAGTGCTTTGAGGGTCTAGAAAGTGTCCAGCACTAACTGCATAACCTGATGGAAAAAAAAAAAACATACATTGTGGTGAAATATCCTAACTGCCCATTCAAAGTCTGCAAAACCACTGTAAAAACTGTAATAAATAAATAAATAAAAAAATTTAAAAAAAAGAATAAAGCAATTATTTTAAAAGTCTATATCTTCCTAATTATGGTTAACTAAAACTTGAAATAAAATCAACTTTAACTGAAATAAAACACAATATAAAAATTTGATTGAATATAAAAATTTATAATATTTTATTTCAGCTAGTTGCCTAGTCAACATTTCTTATTTTCATGTAGTTTAACTCGGTGTACTGAAAAAAAAAAACTAATACTAAAATTGAAATCAAATAAAAAAACTGTATATACATATTTAAAATATATATAATAATAATAATAATAATAATAATAATAATAATATATATATATATATATATATATATGACAAAAAACACACAACAA